AAAATGTGCAATGCCTTCGTCGGTGTTTAAACTACGCAACTCTCGAATACACGTAGAGTGTACTTCCAGTTGCACCCCGCAGGTATACGGAAAGGAGGAAGAAAATAACTTATATACTCCCCCTTTTAAAGGACGACTGGAGATTAGGGAACCCAGTCGGCAAATCCTGATAGCACTCACTACCTTTTCGTTCGAGCACCATTGTAGAGTCATTTCGAATTTTTTTCGGAACTAAAGAACCTAAAGAAAGTAAGGAAACTAAATAAATCCGCAGTGCCCTTGCCGGGATTCGAACTCCGGACCTTCTGATGACGCATTGAGTGTTCTTCCAGTTACACCACGAAGGCATGCGGAAAGGAGGGAGAAAATACCTTATAACAGACAGCGGGTTATAGATAGCTTTGTCCTAAATACTCACAAACTTCTGAAAAGGGTTTAAAACAACTTTTTGATTTTAGTCTTAACTTGAACATAAAAGCACAACTTGTGCTCTTTAGCGCTGCCATTATGGTTATTTAACAATAATAGGCAATTATATTCAAACCTTGATAACGTTAAGATTACACATGCAATAGAAAAAGCTGGCTCAAGAAATATTTTACCGGCGAACGGTTTAATTAATTGGCTAATGAAAATGCTAAAGCCAGAATATTCATTTTAAGCAGAGTGGCGAAAATATACCAAACGCAACTGCCAGAAGCTCTCCCATTAACATTTAAAACCCTCAGATGAAATGCTCCTGTAACGTCCCGAGCTTTCCACACAAAACTAATATGCATTCTGGTAAAGAATACGGAAAGGAGAAGTTATAGTAAAGCCTGAAATCATAATAACTTGTTAATTAACATAAGATACTCTATAAGCTGAATATCTTTGTTTGATAGAAAACAAAGCACTTACTCTCTGATTTTAATTAATTGCAAATTGGTACCTACTCTACCCTATAAATTTAGACTAGAATACAGTAAATTTTAACTAACCTTTTTCGATTTTCTTCTTCTAAGGAATGTTGTTTAATAGTGTAAAAGCAGTAAGTATGCTTAAAAAAATGAACTTTCATCTTCAAAATTTCAAACTATATTCTAATGTCCCGAAACAATGTTCACCTTAAGCACTTTAAAAACTTAAAATGGTTACCGGCGAAACATCGCGGATAAAAATGCTAAAGAGAAAACATCGCTGCTTCAAAATATCGCAGTATAGAACACCCGGGTGGAAAATAAATCGACAATATAATTTAACAGTTCTAAAATTCCATAGTCAATACTCTGGCTTTCTAAAGTTAAGCAAAACCAGTGCAAAATGGAAAAAGTAACCTTTCGATTAACACAAAATTGCACATGTAGGTAGCAAATATGTTATCCGGGGGGGCGGAGGGGAGCGAGGAACAAGCATTATGACCAAATATGAAAACAATATTCAATTTTCGTAAATTATATGACGACATCTCATAGGGATCTTTAACAAATTGATGTTTAAAGCTAAAACTAGGCAAACAAAACTTACGTTAATAAAGTACCTGACAGCCTAGGACCTTCACACAAACTTTGCAGCTATTGCCCATTCTTTTATTGAGGTAATCAGTAATCGTAGATGCTAGCAATAGGCGTACTTCCATTAAGGGAAGTTTCTCATGGAGGTAGTTTCTAGCCCTGTGAAACTGGCTAGAGGAGATAAACGTGCTGAGATAACACGCTTGAAGGCATCGTAAAAATTTTCAATGGGTTTAAAGTCTAGAGAATACGTCGAGCACTCCACATGAGAAATATCCTCACTCTCCAAGTGCTCGTTAATGATAATAGCTCGATGAGGCAGGGTATTATCATTCATTAGGAGAAAATCAGAGCCAAATCTTGGAGCGTAGAGTCTCACAGTGGGATGTAGGATTTTATCCCGATAGCGCGCAACCGCCACAGAGTCCCCTATAAAGATGTATGGCTAGTTGCAATATTCCACTGAAATTCCAACCAACATCATGATGCTGCGAGCTCTGAACGCGTGATGTTCTATAACATCCTGTGTCTGATTCCATGCGTCTCGTTCTCTCCAGACCTTTAGACACTTATTATCTGACTCCAGGCCAAATCTGGACTTGTCCAAGAATAGAACCTTGCGCCAATTTGAAACAGTCCAATAGAGATATTGACAACTTAATCTTGCCCTTCTGGAATGGGCGATTAGTGGGATACAAACACTTGGTACTCGGGAGTACAAGTTTCTTCATGTGAAGTTTCGCACAGTTACTGGTAGTATTTTTTATCTTGTCATGTAAGCTGCAACCATGGATGTATCTGTTGTTAAGGTTGCTTGTTGATTCCGCTTGCCTACTGTAGCAATATACTGATCTTCCGAAGGGTGGTAATCCTTGGTCGACCGCGCAGAGGTCTACGGACAACTGTTTGAATTGTTTGGAATTGTTTATATGTTCAAGAAGTTACCGAAAGATCAAACCTTAAGAAAAGAGTGACATCTTTGACGGTCCTGCTTTCACGAATCTCCGGCACACCAACGCTCACTATCTGCCATTTGTCTCTTCTCAGCCACAGATACACGAATATCGTCAAAAATTGTTCTCCGAAAGTTATTAACATTTAAATGAACCTCCTGAAACCCTTCTTCTAATGACAGCGTCTTGATCAACCGCCCAGTTAGTATATGCTATGGCAGTCAACAGCGATTGTTTGTAACATACAATACTGCTATCGGTATCCGCATTGATTTTCATCCATTCAAAATTAAACTACGCTTTCTAAAATTGCTAGAAAGAAAGAAACTGAAACATTTTAAAAATCTGAATATGAGTAGGAATTACATTTAGGTAGTACAGTAGCAGTTAATAATTTTTAATTATAATTTAAAATTATAATATCAGTTGTTTAATTTAATATAATTTTAAACTTAGTTTGTTATCTAATAAAATTCACTATTTAATAAACCTTTTTCTAATAAAAAACGTACTTTCATTTTAATCAAAATTACAGTATAAAAAAAAAAAAAAAAAATCTGAAAGGTTTCAGATTTTAAATTACGTCCAAAGGGGCGTTTTTTTAACATTTTGTCTGTTACCTTTATTTATTAAATATAACGTTTTTTGCACTTAAACCATAAAATTCAGTTCAAGAGCAATGTCGCAAAATAGTTTTAAATTGAGCCTATCTTTAGAATTTCCGATACAGAGTCTCGCGCGCTGGAGATAAAAATGTTTTTTCTCTACAATATTGCCATTACTCGCTTTGAGATTTTTGTGTTTGTTAATCAAATTTTGTTAAAGTTTTACAAAATATGAAATAGATAATAAAACAAATTCCAAATTTCAAATTTGGGCTTCCACATGCCCCTATTCGCAATATGATTACGTCATTCAAAATTCGATGACTCTATGTACCGTTCTTTTATCTCAATGCTTATGCAGATTTTCCGTTATTTAATTTCTGCAAATATAATGCAGGACTCTAAAATTTGGTGGCAACAGTTTGAAAAGGGAAACGGACATTTATAGTGAACCGACGCAAAATCGCAAAACGAAAACAATAGTCCTTCAGGAACCAAGCCCCTTTGTAGTAACGAGATAAAAAAAAAAAAGACTAATATTTAATTCATATGTGGGAAAAACAAATGCAGCCAACCCTTTCAGTCGCGGGTATGAATTACTTACGTTTCGCGGATTTTAGTAATTATATAATCCCTTTATTGCACGCACGCACACATAAAGTAATAAAATAATTGCATGTGTTTAAGAAATATTAAAAAAAATTAAGTAAAATGTTTCCCATGAAATGAAATACGTAATATTCTGTGAAATACTTGGAAAACACTAAAAGTGCAACAATTTTTATTTTTGATAAAATTCATGCTTAAACTTCTAACAATTTTAAATTTCAGTTTTTTTCAATGTGTAATGTGAACACGAAGCCATTTTTCTTAGCGTATTCCAGCTGAAATACTATATAGCCGACTTGACCTGCTTTCCCATAACAACCAATCAGCAACCAAATGAATTAGTTTTAAAAAAATGATAATGAAATTATGCCTTAAGAAGATGAATTAATCAAAGCAAAATAAAGAGCAGTATTTAATGAAAGATTATTAGACTAAAAATGAAAAAAAAAAAAAGAGTTTATAGTTTGGTAATTAAGCGAATAATTTTGATATTAGTAACATAACGCAATTCATCTTCTCTTTCTAATTATTTTTATATTAGGGATTTTCCTAAAATGTCTAGTATTTCTTTTTTACGAAAACGATTAATCACATAATGACTCTTCATAGCTAGCAATGTATGCTTTATTTTATAAGTTTTATACTGTATCTACAATTTCCATTCATTTCTCGTTTTGAATGACTAAGTTTTCTTCTTCATTCTTCAGTTAAAAATTATAAGTTATTTAAAAAAATTGCAATAGTTTAACATCTTAGATACACCGCTGCAATGCTACAGTCCTGCTATATTTTGTAAGATGTTTTATTTTTATCACAATGTTTTAAAATTGCTATGTTTTATCTCTAGTTCATTTTCTACCGTGATACTTCACACTACGGAGAATTCTGGATTGAAATGTTTTCTCTTAGTTTCTTTTCTATTCCGATATTTTGTGCGGCAATATTTTTGCTTCGTGTTGTTTTCTATACGGCGTATCTGTCCGCGATGTTTTCAGCGGTTTTCTTCAAAATATCTAAAAATAAAGAAATTATTACAAGTATTTCACTTTTCTTCTTAAATAAAAATAACGACTACTATTTTTTAGATCTAAATCGTTATTGTCGAATAAAATTAAAACTCAATCGAAAAGGATTTGAATTTAGAAGTTCAGGCGCTTCTTTTCTGTATTTCGCCTTCGAAAGTAAACTGATATAAATAGAAAAATATCAAACAGAAAAAGGGATATTAATGTTTCAATAAAATTCAGAAAGTAATAGAGAGGATAACAGTCTATACATTGCTACAAAATTTCATATCACTGAAGCAATTAAATCAATATAACTTGTTTCTGAGAACTTACTTGGATAATAATCTTGAATGCTGTTATGTTCTTTTGTCGCAGTTTGATTAACTGTGATTCCTTCTGCCTCCTCATCGTAAGTGACGAAGAATGCATACACAATAATAAATGCTGTTTCTACGCATAGCACTAATCCAGCGAATTTTCCACTCTGCCAGATCATTCTTCTATAAAAATTTTCAAAAATATTATTTTTTATAAATCTGATGCATTAGAAAATTTGTTATACTACTAATTATTACTGTAGATTATCTGCACAAAGAATACATGATTATTTCAGAAGATAAGATCGATTTTTATGTTTAAAATAGTGACAGTTTAAACAATTTCTTCTAGAATGTTACGTTATTTAACTTTTATTTTCTTGTAGAAAGTATTGTAATCGCGAATTTTTATTTTATTTTTTTACCTTTCTTTTTTTTATCTTTTTTAAAAATACTTTGTTTGTAAGCATATTTTACATATATAAAGAGAGAGAGATCGATAGTTGAAAATATTTAATTAGAAACTAAAAAACTTTTGGCGCAAAATGCTGTGAAATTAATCAGAATGAAATAGAATAAAATAAAACAGAAAAAGCTCAATCTTGAATCAAAATATAAATTTAAACAAACACAAGACAAATAAATAACAAAAGTTAAAAATTCGTTGATCTTTGCCAAATAATAAATGTAGAGAATTATGTATTTTCTTACCTCTCCACACATGTATAAATATAAAATCCACACATGTATAAATATGAAAAAGAATAGCTTCCCTATGGATGTAATTAATAACTTTAAAAAGCTTATTTTAAAAATATGCTATTTAGAGCAGTTACAGGATTTCAGTATCAGTGTTTGAAAATATTAAAGTAATAATTTTAATTAACAAGCCAGGTTAATGAACTTAAACGACTCTTATGACAATCATTGAACTTCTTTAATGATAAACCAGCCTCAAACTACGAGTATATACATATATTTTTCTTTGGACTTAAGGCTAATGAGGTTTAACATAGTGACAGACATTCACACTAGCGATACTCTCATGAAGTAGCTGACGTGAGTTCCATACAAACCAAACATTTTTTTAAAAATGTTGTCAGTAATGTAATAAACTTAAATTTATTTGTTACGTAGGAACTCCAAGTATCAGGACTATATGGCCATAAGTTCTATATATTTCGGAATACCCGAACAACTGAATTTATAGCTTGTAAATTAGACAATGATACTTATTCATAAAGTAAGTGAGGGAGTTTTAGTTTTTATTTTATTTTATTTTAATTTAAAAAAATTATACATTATAATAGCCCTTCTGGGGTAACGCCCATTTGGGCTAAAAAAGTTATTTTTTTAAACCAAAAATCAAAAGCGCACTATTTCTTGACAGAATTAAACAATGGAATTGTTTTTATACATCTTAATGCAAAACCTAATCCTATGTCAATTAAAAATAAAATAATGAAATTATTTTTTTATTAAACTGCTGTTAAAACTGAATAAAAATAATAAGGAGCGCATAATTGATTTTCCACTGATATTTACAATATAGTTATTTATCGAATTTTTAAACCAGTTTAGAAGCCTCTCGGAAATTTATCTAAATAAATTCAGTAGCTTTTAAAAAAATGCGCTACTATATATTTTTAAAAGTCGCGGATTGGAACGAGCTCCTATGAATTTCTGCAGGTTGCATTAGTATCAACTTAAGTAATATTTCAGATGAATGGAGGAAATGCCATGATGATGATAATAATAATAATAATAATAATAATGAAAAGAAAATTTTGAAAGAGTTCAGATTTTAGTTTGTTGCCCAAAAGAGTTCTTTAAGGTTTTTTATGCTCTCGTTTTGCACGCAATCCACCAATCGGCAGTTGTAGTCATTCCTGCTAACCCACTTTCCCCCTTTTCAGCTTTATTATTAAATACCGTTTTCTTCACGCTTATGCCATATATAATTCAACAGCAAAATTACAAAAATTTTAAAAACAGCATGTGTTTAGAATTCCCGATGAAGTTTTAAGTGTTGGCATATATTTTCTATTTTTTTCAGTCTTTTCTTAGTTTATCATATCAATGTAGAATATGGCCTGCAAAACTCTTTTTTTATTTTTTTTTTTGGTCTTTTTATATTAACGTTTTGCGTGTTAAATATATTAATTAAATATCATGTTCTTCGCCCTTACGCTACAAAAAATACAGCAAAATCGAAAAATATTTAAAAACAGCATACCTTTATAATTTCCAATCTACATTTCAAGTTCTCACACGCTGGAAGTAACAATGTTTTAATCCGTACCTGTTGCCACTGCTCTCTTTCAAACTCTTGAGTTTGTTAAAAATTCATTTAAATTTTACAAAATATGAAACATAAAATTCGAAATTGAGAATTCGGGCTTCCAGGTACACATGTTCGGCTGGAGGACGACGTTATTCAAAATTTGATGGCACTAGGTACCGTCGTTTTTTCACAATGCGAGACACATACATAAATTCGTGCAAATTCTTCTTTATTTAATTTCTTTAAATGTAATACAGGACGAATTTTGTAGCAACAATTTGAAAAGTGATTCAGACATTTAAACCCCCCTTTCGAGATCAATAGTCCATTCGAGCTAACGCCCTCTTGGGCTAATAATGTTGGTGATGATGGCAACACTGATAAAACAATGCCTCACCTTTGATACCATAGTAATAATAATAATAATAACGATGATAAAATAATAATAATAATACCTTAGAATAGCAACAAAATATTGCAAAAACTATTGTATTTCTTTTAATTGAAATTGCACAAAATATTTAGATAGAAAATACAAAAATTAAAAAAAAAAAAAAAAAAAAAAAATCAAAATTAATACTAACGTAAAGTTGCATGAATATTTCAGCTTTTGATAAGGTTATTTTTTGAGTTTAATATGAATCAAAGTATGATAATAGAGACGTCACTAACCTCGACGTAATCCAACGTTCATTCTGGAAGCATCGAGATATATTTAAATACTGATTTACAAAAACCGATTAAAATATTTAGGACGAAAATAATGCTGTGTATAAATGAAAATAAGGCTAGTCAACAAATATACCACTCAGACGATTTGGCTATATGCGCGGAAGAAGATTCAAAAAGTTTATAGAATGAATTATTATTTTAATTAATTAATTATTAATGACCATTTGGGCAGTTTTTGGAGCCCGCTTGGAATATTTTTAGTGTGTCACAAGTGGATCGGGTTTCGCCTGCATTTAAATCACTAGAAACATTAAAAACAAGTTATTTTTCTTGGCTTAGAAACAAAAACCGGCAATTCTAAAATTATTGCAAATAAAGCGAAGTTTTATTGTATTTTAAGCAGAAAGGAAGTTTAGTGGTTTGTAAGGCTTCATATCGACGGTTAGTTTTTTATTACCCTCTAAATTCCGGATGGAAACATAAACTAATTTTAAAATTCAGTATTTAAGATTATCTAAATTCATAAGTACATGTATATATATATATATATATATTGAAATATTCACTTTTATTTTTCTTCAGATATTTTTAGTAGTATTAAGGCTTTACTGTAATTAGATATCAATCCCCCTCAGTCACTTACCTTAGAAAATATCACTAGAACTTTCTTTTAGAAAATATCACTTTTTGAAAATATCACTATATAATGTTTTAGAAGCTTCACATTTTCTTGAATCTAAAGTTTGGGAAGATATGTCCTTCAACTACTGTCAATCAAAAAAGAAAACTTTCTTATTTCTCTCTTGTTTTTTTGCCGTAGGAGCAAGGAGTTTTCTTTTTCAGTATGTGCGACACAGCACAAAGTGAAGCCAATTGAGTGATAAAAGAATAGTAGGTGGAGCTGGTATCTGATTCGTCGCTTCGGTTCTATCATCACGTTCATCGTTCCATTTTCAGTACTTGATTCAGTTATCTAAGCTGATAAAAGTGCTTGCTGAAATACTAGTTGGTGCAATTTAGTTTTGCTTTTATTTTAAAGCTCCTGAAAAGCATAATATTGCAGCAAATTTTTTTGTTATTTAAATGGCGGCTTATCTTTGGACGGCCTATAGAAAAACGATTTCTACAGCTTATTTTTAAAAAGATTATTTAGCAGTTTAACCTCAAACAAAAATTCTCTCTGTTGCTGAATAGAGTAATTAGGATTTAAAAAAATCTGATGTGTACACCACATGACTTCCTTGTACGGAATACTAAATTATACGCATTTTTTCTTGCATTTCATTTAAACTTATTGGATTGAACTAAATCTACTTCGCCGACAGCGCATAACCCACAATAGAATAAATGCATTCTTTAAAATTCACTCTAGTATTTGTTTACCATAGCGACACTCTGGCGCTAGTTTCACTTAACAGTATTAATAATTATATAACAGTTAACTTATATAATAATTATATAACGGAAACTAAGTTAACTGTTCTATAATCCAATAATTATAGAACAGTTAACGTATGTGTTTCGTTCATATTATAACTCATAATGCACAAAATTTATATTATTTAAAGAATAGAATTATCTAATCGTTGCCACATGTTCTATTCAAATACTATAATAAGAATGTATAAAAGAAATTAAGCAAACAGAAAAAAAAAAAAAGAAAAGAAAAGAAACAGTTTTTCACAGACGATTGAGTATTTCTCATTGAATTAATTCAGTTCTCACTTCGCGAAAAGGAAAAAATACATAAAAACTCAAAATATCTATATTAAAAATTGCGAAGTAAATCTCAAACACTTATTTCCTCGAAAACATTCCAGAAAGAATTAAGCATGATTTAATTGGCAATAATAAATGAATGCGTTATCTTTGTTGTTGCGAAGCTAAGTTTCTCTAGATTGGCAACAAATCCACTAGTCTCCTGTTTCAAATGTAAACATCAATGGCCGCCATTAAAAAAAGGCTTAGCGGCACTTAGACAGCTTTAAAATTGTTGATAATTCTAAAAGTATTGCATACAGATTTACTAAAGGCATAAAATCTTTAACCGGAAGATAAAAACAACATAATACAATCATTTTTAAAGCAAAAAAAAATGTACAATTTACAAACATATAAGAGTAAAAGAAACTGAGATTACTGAGCCGGGTAACAGAGTGGATATATATATAAATATATTTATATATGTTTGGCGCAGCCGATTGCAACCAAAATACGACGTGC